TGAGGGTCCAGATGCCGTGCAAAGCCTATCACTGGGGGACAAGGGCTACCTTCTGTGACCATTCCTAATGTCTCAGTTACTCAACCGTTTGACTTGCGACAGAGCAGAGATACACTGTCCGACCAGATCTGTGGTGCAGCAGTACAACAGGCCTCCTGAAGGTGGCGTTCCACTGCACGAACAGGTCGGGTGGGATCCTTCAGTGTACTCCAGACAGACTCACAGAGTGTGTGCATAGTCCCAACATTCTGTGCTCTACACAACTGGAGCAGGCAAACAGGGGATATGATGAACTCTGAAGAACTGAGACAGCAGTAGCAGCCTTTGAGGAGGGGGATGAAGACGTTGTGAAGGAGGCACATCAGATCATGCACACTAGACAGCAGCAATGCAACAGTCAAGAAAGCACATCAATGTCTCTACTTCTTCAGGAAGCTAAGGAAATTTGGCATGTTCACAAAGACCCTTGCCAATTTTTATCGATGTCCTGTAGAAAACATGCTAACCAGATACATCACAGTGTGGTATGGCAACTGCTTTTTCCAAAATCGCAAGACACTACAGATAGCTGTGAACACAGCCCAGTCCATCACGCTAATCAACCTTCCATCCATTGACTCCATCTAAACTTCCTGCTGCCTTGTGAAAGCAACCAGAATAATCAAGGACCCCTCCTGCCCCATTATACTCTCTTCCACCCTCTTCCATCAAGCAGAAGATATAAAATGTTGAATACACATAATAACAGATTCAAGAACAGCTTCTTCTGTACTGTTATCAGGCTTCTGAACAGATCTCTCAAACTGTAACACTGTGGTCTGCGCTCTGTTCTGTTACCCTAATGCTCTTTGTATTTATGACCTGCCTGTAAAGCACGCAAAACAACACTTTTCACTGTATGTTGGTACATGTCACAACAATAAATCAAACTCAAACACTACTAGTCAGACAAGGCTTAATTGACTCTAGGTTCCAGTAGATGAGAGCTGGATGCAGCGATCACCCAGTGACTGTAAAATGCCTGTTACTCAAAATGCTAGCAGTTTGTTCGTATGCTGGGAGGAAAATGCAGTTCCTGTTTGTTTAATTTCTGCTCACTTCTGTTTTTTGTGAATAAATGTTAATGATTTACATTGCTTGAAGGCTTCACTGTATGTGATAGCTCCACAGTAAGCAGTGAGAAGATGCTGGGCTACAGTGGACATTGGGATAAGAGTAGCAATAACTTAGAGAGGGTTGTAAGGTGGAATGTCCCTCTGGATTGGTGAGTTGTGTGCCCTGGCACTTCATAGAAACATAGAAAACAGGAGCAGGTGTAGGCCATTCGGCCCCTCAAGCCTGCTCTGCCATTTAATATGATCATGGCTGATCATCCAACTCAGTATCCCTTTGCTGCTTTCTCTCCTATATCCTTTGAACCTTTAGCTCTAAAACTTTATCTATTTTCCTGAAAACATTCAATGTTTTGGCCTCAACTGCTTCCGCGGCACAGAATTCCACAAGCTCCCCACTTTCTGGGTGAAGATATTTCTCCTCAACTCAGTCCCAAATGGCCTAGCCCATATTCTTAAACTATGACCTAGTCATTGGGACCATCCTTCCTGTGTTTAACCTATCCATCCTGTTAGACTTTTATAGGTTTCTATGAGATCCTCTCATTCATCTAAACGCCAGTGAATACAGTCCTAACCGATTCAGCCTCTCTTCATACATCAGCCCTACCATCCCAGGAATCAGCCTGGTAAACATTCACTCTACTCCCTCCATCACCAGAACATCCTTCTTCAAAGAAGGAGATCAAAACTGTGCACAATACTCTGGATATGGTCTCACCAAGGCACTATACAATAGCAGCAAGACATCTCTGTTCCTGTACTTGAATCCTCTCGCTATGACGGTCAATATACCATTTGCCTTCTTCACCACCTGCTTCAAATGCATGCTTACTTTCAGCGTCTGGTGGACAAGAACACCCAGGTCTCATTGCACTTCCCCTGTTCCCAACCTATCACCTTCCTGTTTTTGCTACTGAATGTCACATCTATCCACATTGAGGTTATTCACTTTGGTAGTTTGAATGATAACCGGGTGTAAGGAGTTAACAGCGGTGCCTCTTCCATGTTGTCAATTGGTGACTGCTGTGCCCCCTACGTTGTCGGTGAAGAACAGCTTTGGTCTGCCAAAGGCCTTGTGCACCAGCTAGAGTTCCAAGATGGCACCGGGATGATGACCTATTCTGGATGTCCCAACACTGACAAGTTCTTCTAGCTGTGATAACGGATGCAGGGCTAGCATCAACCAGGGCTGGGGGGTAGATATATAATATGTCTGGGATGGTGGCATGGAAGAAACTTGCTAGTCCCCAGAGACAGAAACCCTCTGTCAAACTTGACGGAGATGCCACAGCCTAAATATGGCGAATGTTGCAAAAATATTCAGCCCTAAGTTGTAATATTTCTGCCACAGTCCTTTCTGCTCCTTGACACTTCTGAGTTTGATGCAGCTTAAAGTCAGCATGAGGCATTGTTGGGTTTCTTTCCTCAGTTCTCCTTTGACAGGGTTCATTCGCATTGACCAATGTCCTGCTAGGTGTCAGCTACATGCCTCTGCAGCTCAACCGTGTCAGGCAACACAGCGAGAGTTTGCGTTCCAACTCCATTTTCATTTAGCCTTCTTCCCCCCTCTCCCTCACCTTTGATGGTCTGCATTGTCCATAATGGGCTCTGCAGGGAGCATGCTGCCACACCAAGGCCTCATCCACCTGCCCCAAGTGTAACAGAGCCTGCAGAAGCTGCATTGGTCTGTACAGCCACCTACAGATTCACCCTGAGAGCAGAAGAGAGTCATCATCGTCTTCAAGGGACAACCAATGACATTGAAAAACAGGTTTGCAAATATTGGTGATTTACTGACAGTGGTTCATCGATGGAAAAAAATGGGTAATTTGGTGGATATAACACAATGTGGAGCTGGAGGAACACAGCAGGCCAGGCAGCATCAGACAGCCGGAATGTTGACATTTTGGTCAGGACCCTGGATCTTTTCCCCAGCTTTTCAAATGACTTTTATTACCTTGTACCTATCTCTTGTTTTTCACCTCCATACCCTTGCACACTGTTTCTATCCAAATAATCATCCAATCCCCTCTTGAATGCCCCAGATGCAATTCGTTTCCAGACAATGCATTCCAGAATGGATGAATGGATGCCTGGGTGAGTGCAGCCCCAACAACACTCAAGAAGCTTGACACCATCCAGGACAAAGCAGCCTGGTTCATTGGCACTACATCCATAAGCATCCACTCCCTCCACCACTGACACTCAGTAGCAGCAGTGTGTACTATCCACAAGGTGCACTGCAGAAATTCACCAAAGATCCTCAGACAGCACCTTCTGAACCCATGACAACTTCCATCTAGAAGAACAAGGGCAACAGATCTATGGGACACCACCACTTCCAAGTTCCCCTCCAAGTCACTCACCATCCTGACTTGGAAATATATCGCCATTCCTTCGCTATCACTGGATCAGAATCCTGGAACCTCCTCCCTAAGGGCATTATGGGTAAACCTACAGTATGTGGTTGAAGAAAGCAGTTCACCAAGGACAACTAGGTACAGACAATAAATGCTGGCCCAGCATCCCACAAATGAATAAAAAAAACAAACTATTTGCTGTATGAAAAGCTGTTACTCACATCAGATTAGCTCTTTGAGCAAATCATTTTCAGTCTGTGTTCTCTGGTTCTTGATCCTTTTATGAGCGGGGGACGGATTCCCTTCTTAAAGCCTAACCCTCGAAATCTAGGTATCATTCTGATGAACCTACATTGTAGCAATTCCAGAAGCTACCAGATGGGTAGCTGTGGTATCCACGAGTTATTTAAAGGGAGGTGATGGCACTGCTGGTATAACTACTGGACAATTAATCCAGAGACCCCTACTATTGTTATAGAGTCATACAGCACACAAACAGAAGCAAAAACAGAAGTTGCTGGAAAAGCTCAGCAGGTCCGGCAGCATCTGTGAAGAAAAAAATCAGAGTTAACACTTTGGGTCTTGGTAGTTCTGAGGAAGGGTCACCAGACCCGAAACGTTAACTCTATTTTCTCTTCACAGATGCTGCCAGATCTGCTGAGCTTTTCCAGCAACTTCTGTTATTGTTTCTGATTTATAGCATCCACAGTTCTTTCAATTTTTATTCAGTGCAGAAACAGACCCTTCGTTTCCCAAGTTAAACTATTTCCAATTACTTGCATTTCCATATCCCTCTAAACGTTTCCTATTCATGCGCCTGTCTAATGTCTTTTAAATGTTCTAACTGTACCTGCATCTACCACTTTCTCCAGCAGCTCATTCCACATTTGTACCACCCTCTGAGTGAAAAAATTGCCCCTCAGATCGCTTACAAATCTTTTTCCTCTCACCTACAAATATGCTCTCTAGTTTTAAACACACCCACCCTATGGAAAAGACCTTTGTTATTCACTAATCTATGCCTCTCATGATTTTACAAACCTCTGTAAGGTCACCCCTCAACCTCAAACTCCAGTGAAAAAAGTCCCAGCCTATCCAGCCTCCTCCATATAACTCAAACCCTCCAGTCCCAGCAACATCCTGGTAAATGTTTTCGACACCGTCTCCAATTTAATAATATCTGTCCTATAGCAGGGCGACCAGAACTGTACACTGTATTCCAAACGTAGCCTCACCAATGTCCTGTACAACCTCAACACGACGTCCTATACTCAATAGTCTGAGCAATGAAGGCAAGCATGCTAAATGCCTTCTTCACCACCCTGTCTACATGTGACGTAACTTTAAAAGAATTATAACCCCTAGGTCTCTCTGTTTGACAATACTACCCAGGCACAATATTAGTCACCCTCCAGTCCACCACACACAGAACACAGACAGCCTATTTAACACGGCCACATTCACAGCAGTTTTCCAGCTGTTTGTCATGTATTTTTAGTAACACATATACAAATTAAAATATCCATTTTCTAATGAAAGCATTAAAAGTTTATTTCTTCATGGCTCAACTAAAAATATATAATCACAATATTTAATAAATAGTGCACAAAAATACAGGTTCTTTGATGGATTACATAAAAACATTTACATTGATCTTCTGTTGTTGGTCGAGTCTATTGCTACGTCGCCAGCCTATCATCTGTTGGCAATAGCTTTAGCACCCAGGGTCGGATTGAGCTGGTAACTGGGGCCTTCCTTTTTAGATCAGCCCTCAGGCAAGGTGATATTTTGCAAGCTCCTTTGTGTCACACATTGGAGTACCTAAAATGTAGAGAATTGAGGTGAGGGAGGAGAGTGAGAGAGAGAGAGATTTGAGGTGAAGGGGGGTAGAGAGAGAGAATTGAGGTGGGGGAGAAGAGAGAGTGAGTGAGAGAGAGAGAGACTGACACCAGTAAAGGACTCAAGAGAGAGCACATTTTCAAAGTAAAAGGTATAGGTTTTGAGGCCATTTTAAAGATAAGGGGCTGAAGTAACTGAGAGCTAGTGGGGGACATAGCAGAGGCAGTAGCAGAAATCTCACATTGACCTTCAGAACATAATGAATAGGAGCTGCAGTCAGCCTTTTGGACTTCTCTATTTTTCAGCAGGATCGTGACTGATCTTCAACTTTACCTTTCCAAATATCCCCATATTCTTTTATTCCTTCAGTCTGAATATTTATTCTGAATATAGTCAGTGACTGAGCTCAGCTCTGCAGGGGGATGAATTCCAAAGAATCAGAAGTCTTTCGTGGCAGAAAGTTTTCCTCATTTCTGTCTGAAATGGTTGAGCCTCAATCTGAGCAGAAATAATTCTAGGGAGCTTCAAAATGGGACATCTGCTGGGAATGGGGTATGGCTCCAAGTTACTGCCAGTTCCCCAGACCGCTGCTGTGATGGTGAGCGATTAACTCCCAGGGGTGGCGAAATGATGGTAACAGTACCAATTCCAATTCTCTCACATCAAGCACACTTTGGGGCAGGCTTCACTCAACAACAAGGTGGTTTTGGCTGGCCCTCTTCCTTCTCTGTAGCCAGACAACACCCAACCTATTTTTTACACCCACCTTCACTAACTTGTGGGCATGCAAGTAAATCATGGCAGTGGTCTAACAATAAACTGATGATCAGGACTCTGTGTATTTGTAGTGCGGCGAACCAATAACCTTTACTATACTCACTGAGTGCTTATCAAGTGAAAACAATCAACATTGTGGTGATATTTTGTACACGATAACGGAAAGTCTGCAAGTATTAAAACAGAAGCACCGACATCAATTGTCTTTCCTTCACAATCCTGATAGGAGTAAAGATGCTTTCCTTGGATTATTCTGGGAAATGCTACAGACTTCAAGACTTGCCCTTTTCCAATGAAAACTCACTTGACTTGACTATACAGGCTGAAATGAGCATCGTTGGGGAGTCTACCTCCTCCCTGGGTTTGTTAAAGTTGCTCCCGCTGGACTTGCTCCTGCTGTTGTCTGCAGTTGGTGCTATCGGCAAACTTCTGGCTGTGTCTGAGCCCACCAAACAGCAGCAGAGCAACTTAAAAAAGGCCCCTCGCATCTCCCTGCTGGACAGGGTGTAAATGATGGGGTTCAGAGCTGAGTTCAGCACAGCCAGGGCCACGGACCAGTCTGCCTTGTAGAGGATCTGGCACTGCTTGGGGCTACAGGCGACATCCAGCATCAGGAAGATGAAGAGAGGTGACCAGCAAGCTATGAAGACCCCCACGACGATCATCACTGTGCGCAGGAGAGCCATGGCCCGCTCCGATTGGCTGCCCTTGGTGTTCTTCCTCACCTTCATCTTACGGCTGCTGGTGCTAACGAGCCGGTAGATGCGGACGTACAGGATCACGACGGAAAACAAGATGATGGTCAAGATGGTGATGCAAAAGGCCACATAGCTTTTGGCGAACAGCGGCAGCATTGTCGAACAGGACTCGAGTCTGTCAATGCAGCTCCATCCAGTTTGTGGCAAGACCCCCAGGAGAATGGAGATCATCCAGCAAGCTCCCAGGAGCAGGAAGAGCCTGTACTGCTTCTTAGAGTCGTAAGGTCTCATTTTCACCATGGTCATGTGCCTTTCAATAGCAATCGCCAACAGACTGAAGGTTGATGCACACAAGGCAACAAACATACTGCCCTCTCTGATGAACCATTCCGTCGGTGTCAGGGTCAGAGTGCGGTGGCCAGACATGAGGATGTTAAATACGTAAGCCACCCCGGCCAAGAGATCTGAAAGGGCAAGATTCCCGATTAAGTAGTACATCCGTGTGTGAAATTTCTTGTTTTTCCAAATAGCCACAAGCACCATCAGATTCTCGATGACTATCAATATACAGGCCAGGAGGAAAATTGCAACCTTGGCGTTGCTGGAAACACTCTCTGTCCTGTTGTGCAATCTTCCTGTGTAGTTATAATGCCTGATGATGATCTCGTTCTCCTGATAGCCACCAGGCAAAGCCATTGCTACCAATGTGTTAGCAGGAATGTCCGAAAGAAACTGCCGTGTCTACTCTGTGTACTGAAGCATCTCAAACAATAGAGGGCGCTGTCAGTACGTCTGGTCCAGTTCACTGTTGGAGCCTGTCCATGCAGGGGCTGGGGAATCAGACATGGATTTTCAGTCACACCTCTTCGGTTGGAGTCTCTAACCTGAGAGAAAATACATTAAAGGCATGTTTAGACAAAAAAAAGTCAGATCTCTGTAATGCCAAAGGTTGAATATTTAAAGGAATTGCAATTAAAAGGATTAACTGATGCAAGTGTAAATAAGCAATAGGTGCAAATGAACACCCAAAATATCCGGTCCCAGTCCCAGTCCCCTGCCCAGTAACCCATAGAGACAAAGTGTTGGTCATCTCTGGAAATAAACACAGAGAATGCTGGGGAAAATCAGCAACAGCAGCATCTGTAGAAAGTAGTAAGAGTTGACCTTTCCAATCCAGTACGACTCTTCCTCAGAACTTGACCAACTCCAGACTCAGCGAGTCATTTCTGGCCAAATGCTGGGCTCCCACAGAAACTAACCATTGTCCAATCTGATTCCAGGGTGACCAACACAGGGAACAGCAACTCTGATAATACCCCACAGTGCCCTGCTCCTGTCCCATCACGTATATATCAGCATTTCCCCCAACTCCAATGTTTTTTACAAACTAATACATGTTAAAGAAAAATAAACAAAAATGTTCAAGGTAAATAAAATGAGAACACTTGCTTTAACTACCTGGGGAGGGGGGGTGGTTGTAGAGGCAGGAAACCTCACAATCTTTTAAAAAAAAGTGTGTGGATGAGCACTTGAAATGTCATAATATTCAAGGCTACTGGCCAAGTGATGGAAAGTAGGCTAGTGTAGGTAGCTGAGACAACAAGGTGCAGAGCTGGATGAACACAGCAGGCCAAGCAGCATCATAGGAGCAGTAAGGCTGACGTTTCGGGCCTAGACCCTTCATCAGGCAGCATTTACTACCCATCCCTAATTGCCCAGAGGGCAGTTAAGAGCAACCACATTTCTGTGGGTCTGGAGTCATATGTAGGCCAGACAGGGTAAGGATGGCAGTTTCCTTCCCTAAAGGACATTAGTGAACCAGATTGGTTTTTCCCAACAATTGACAATGGATTCACGGTCATGATTAGATTCTTAATTCCAGATATTTTATTGAATTCAAATTCTACCATGGGATGCTCATCAGAATGGATGCTCACCAGAATGATCAGGTTTTAAATTTTACCTTGGAAGATAATTTCTTTAATGTTGTCAGCTCTATTTCCCCTTAATCCATCTACATCTGCTGTCAATGAAGGGCCCTTCCTTGCTCAATACATTATAGCACCTGACTCAATACATGTAACTTCAACTCCATACACACTGTAACATCTAATGTACCATTATTTGAGAAAGCAGCTCATTATACAAATGTGTGGGAAACATTAAAATGAATTAAATTAAACACATGAGGAGAAACTTTTTCTCTTAGGAACTCTGTACTTCGGAAGGCACTGGAAGTGGGATCATGGAATATTTTCAAGGCCAAGGTAGAGAGATTTTTTTTTCTTTCTTCATTCACGCTGACCAGGCAGCATTTATTACCCATCCCTAATTGCCCAGAGGGCAGTTAAGAGTCAACCACATTTCTGTGGGTCTGGAGTCACATGTAGGCCAGACAAGGTAAGGATGGCAGTTTCCTTCCCTAAAGGACATTAGTGAACCAGATGGGTTTTTCCCAACAATTGACAATGGATTCACAGTCATTAGATTCATAATTCCAGATATTTTATTGAATTCAAATTCTACCATCTGCCATGGTGGGATTTGAATCCAGTTTCCCAGAGCATTACCTGGGTCTCTGGATTAACAGTCCAGTGATAATACCACTAGGCCATTGCCTCATTTGATATGCATAGGAATCAAAGGTAATTGGGCTAAATGAAAGTTTGGAATTTGGAACACAAACAGATCTTATTGAATGGTGGAACAGACCTGAAGGCCAAATAGCCTACTTCAGTTCCAAATTCATGTATATGTATGAAATGACTTTCAATGCCCTTACCAGCTAAGGAAGTGCTTTTGAAGTGCAGGAGGCGCAATAGTCAATTTACACACAGCAAGATCCCATTATATAGCAATGTGATAATGAATAGATAATCCCTTCTTAAATGTTGATTAGAAGATAAATTTAACAATAACTCTTAGGAGCAGACATCTGTGATTCTTCAAAACTGTGCCATAGGATCTGATACATCCCCTCAATAAGGTATATGGGAGCCTTCATTTAACATCTCATTGAAGAACAAGAAGTCATTTTAAGGTTGAGTCTTGTGGGCCCCCCAGGATTGTAGATATTTTTGATCAACCTGTAAAGACACCCCTCTGGAGGAAGTGGGACTTGAACCCAGGTTGAGGTATGGACACTATCACTGTGCCTGGTCATCCCAAATCCCAACCAGGTCTGAGTCTACTTAGCTTCCGAGATTCAGCATTTTCACTCTAGTATGGCTGTAGGTTTGAAGCAATACAGCAGGACTTGCTGGGATTTGAATGCAGAACCTCTTGCATATTAATTCACAACATGCCCAAAGTGAGAATCATATCCCATCATCTATTTCTTTAAAAGCTAACCTATTCAGATGTGTTACGATACCCGCTGTAGCCTGGCTCAGAGGTGAGGACACTACCACTGCACCACATAAACCCCTAACATTTGCCTGGATTGACAAAAATATGACATTACCACTATCTTCCCTACCCCAGGCTTTAAACTGTGATAATCAACAAAGGTAACAGTCACAGTTAGAGACAGTAGGAACTGCAGATGCTGGAGAATCCGAGACAACTAATATTGTCTCTAATATTCTGGGGAGGTGGGTTTGAATCCCCTCCCCCCACCGCATCCCAAAACCAGTCCAACTCGTCCCTGCCTCCCTAACCTGTTCTTCCTCCCACCTATCCCCTCCTCCCACCCCAAGCCGCACCTCCATCTCCTACCGACCAACCTCATCCCGCCCCCTTGACCTGTCCGTCCTCCCTGGACTGACCTATCCCCTTCCTAACTCCCTACCTACACTCACCTTTCCTGGCCCCATCCCCGCCTCTTCGACCTGTTTGTTTCCTCTCCACCTATCCTCTCCTCTATCCCTCTTCTATCCGCCTCCCACTCTCTCCCTATTTATTTCAAAACCCCCTTCCCCTCCCCCTTTTTGATGAAGGGTCTCGGCCCGAAACGTCAGCCTTTCTGCTCCTATGATGCTGCTTGGCCTGCTGTGTTCATCCAGCCCTGCACCTTGTTGTCACAGTAGAGTTAGCAGGTTACTCTATGCATTGTACATCACTTTCTTTAGTCACATCTGGCACAATACGTGATTTTGAAACAAAATTATGTTAATACAGAGCAGCTTTTAGAATCTGGAAGGAGTAAAGATGCCTTGCGGGTATGGAGTTTTTGTCAGAATTGTGCTCTGACTAGGGGCTATATTTGAAACAATCTGCCTCTCCAGCAGTTAACAGACCTGCTGGGTACTTTGCAGGATCTTCAGGTTTTATTTCAGGTTTGTTTTTATCTCAACTGATGCTTGACAGCTGACATCCCAACACTGACAATTTCCCAAATTATACCATTCGACAAGTTGAGTCATGCACTCCAAAAAAAACCAGTAATGCCTAAGGTGAGTATTCCATAATGGTCTTGGTGCTTATCCAAGTTAATTTTCAGTAAATATGATAACACTTCTGGTTGTGTTTAGGTACAATTGAGCATTCTCCCTCAAATTCTAAAACACCATAAAATTTTAATTGGTTTATATGCCACACAGCTCATGCCAATTGAAAGTGATGTCTTCACAGCAGTGTAAATTGAGTAATATTGTCCAGGTATGGCACCACTACTGCAGCCATGTGCAATGTTGAAGATATTTATACAAGACAATTCAATGAAGATTTACTCCAAATAAAAACCTGCTTTAGGTGCTCAGCATCTGTGAAGAGGATAGGAGAATTCGTGAGCCAAAGGAGTGATAACAGGACCATGAAAGAAACAAAATGTACACTTAAGAGTTGTTGTGAATGATGGGATGCTGAATAGTTGACATCTGAAAGGAAATTAAAATAAATAAGAGAAGGAAAGCATCATTTTATCTCTCCTGCCCCTCCCACCCTTTTATTTTCTCAAGAATCTTTCTAATATCTACTAACTCTGATTAAAGGGACATAAGACGAAACATGAAATGTGTTTAATTCCTCAAGGATACTACTCAAGTTGCTGAGTAATTGTGGTATTTTCTGTTTCCATTTCCGCTTGCTCATGGCTATGGTGGTCTAGTGTCCACAGCATTATGCTTTCGTATCAATAAGGTTATACCGGAGCATCGTTAGGGCGTTCCGTTCTCTGACAGCATATCATTTCACCAGCGTTTGGACAAGTGCGAGCAAAGCTATGTATACCATTCTGTTAAACGATGTCAAACGGATAATGATTTCAAACAAATAGCCAGATCCAACCACAATAGACCGTTCAGAATCTTCACAGTTTCACACTCAACTAAATCAGTCAAAAGTTTGATAACTTGCAAATTAAAAGTGCAATTAACACGTCAAGGGGAGATCTGCTGCTGCTAACGGGGAGTTTTAGGGTTGTGGGAACCAGGAAGTCATACCGTAGACAGAAATATCAAGGTGCACAGAGTACTGGGAAATACAATTCACACTAGAGTACCAGATAGAAATTTGATTTAGTAAAGTCAGAGTAAAGGAGGGGGTGGGGAAGAAGCAATATACTTAAGGTAAGATTTACTCTACATATGTGTGAATGTGCAGAGGCTGGTTAAAAAAAAAGTTTGGTGAGTTGCAGACAACAGATATTTATGTGGAAATATAATGTTGTAACTATCACAGAGATCTGACTCAAAGCAGAGAAGGACTGGGAGGTAGGTTTTTTTTTTAGAAATAGTAAGAACTGCCGATGCTGGAGTCAGAGATAACACAGTGTGGAGTTGGAGGAACACAGCAGGCCAGGCAGCATCAGAGGAGCAGGAAATCTGACGTTTCGGGTCGGGACCCTTCTTCAGAAAATCTTACTTTTTTAGAAGATGTTTTGGAAAATAAGAAGAGGAGAAAGGAGGAAGTTAGCAACAGTATTAAGGAGGACAAAAAGACAGTG